GTGGATGAGGGTCCTTTGACGTTACTAAGGAGGCTACAAGGAAGGGGGAGATGGTTAGGAGCTGCAAACCTCTTGAGTAGGACCAGGCACCAAGGCTTGTAAGGTTCTTCCCTGTGTAGTTGTGGTGGTCCTTGAATTCCACTGGTTGTTTGCAAAAGAAGCTGAGATAAGGAGCAGGGCAATGTGTGCCTTAGGATGTGGGTGAGCTAGACCCAGCAGTCTAGCTCTGAAGCATCAGCTTTCTTCCCTGGACCTGGAATTCCCTTGCCCAGGCCTGAAATTACTCTCAGGAGAACCCCTCGAGGCAGTAGTGGCCACTAAAGTGTTCTCTATTGGAGAAGGCACTGACCTCATGAGTCCGCAGATTAGCATCTTGTAGGGCTGGCTGTGACACTCCCTCAGTTCAGGGAGTGAAGTAGGGAGAGTGGCTAGGAGACTGAAGCTTCCTATTATCTAGTATTTGCATTCAAGGCACTGTTGGGGGTTTGGTCTCAGTTACCAAATTCCCCCACTCCTCTTTCCTGCTAAGGATAGGAGTATTTGTAATCGCTGCGTGTTTAAACTCCACTCTCTCTACCTAAAGTGAGTTTCTCACCTTTAGTTGGTTCACTCCTGTCTACTGTCTACTTAGCTACCCTTAGGGTTCAGCTCCATCGTCACTTCCTCTCAGCCTTTCCTCTCTACATAAGAAGCTCCCAGTCCTGCAGTTCGTACTTTGTCCTGCGGCATTGACTCACCGCTGTACAGAGCCATCTTGTTTGTTCTTTTGACTTTTGAATCCCTCTCCCCTCCCCCTTGGCAAGGGTTGCGTAGGCAGAACGTACCGATTGTGCCTCAGTACCAAGCAGAAAGCCTGACACGTGGTGGAGACTCAACTCAGGGAGCCTTTGCTGAATGACCGATGTGTCTTCTGTGAGATGGTGTGAAGTTTTGTAGTCTGCATGGACGCGTGCATGCATGCGTGTGTGTGTGTGTGAAGTCTTGGTGAGAAGAGAATAAGAACCTCCTTTGAATTATTTCCTTCATTGTGAATGCTGACAGATATAGAATTGTCTACTTGTTCAATTATTTTGACTCTAGACCTATTAACTGGACAAGATCTGTTGATCCTTTGGACATAGGTATCTAATCTTGGGTAGGCTTCCATTTTCTAGAACATTCTGGGCTGGATGCACTATCTTTTGGAATTTGTGCTCTATGGTAGCCTCTGGCTCCTGGTGAGTATTGAGCACTTGAAACAGGGTTGGTGTGAAGTGCCGTGTGCTGTGAATGTAAACCACATTTCAGGTGATGGACAGAACTGTGGTGCAGGAAGCTAAGCTATCGCCTGCCACGCCAGCATCCCACATCGGAGTGCTGGTTTGAGTCCTGGCTGCTCCACTTCCGATCCAGCTCCCTGCTAATGTGCCTGAGAGGGCAGTGGAGGATGGCACACGTATTTGGTTCCCTGCCACCCACATTGGAGACTCGGATGAAATTCTGGGCTCCTGGCTTTGGCCTGGACCAGTCCCAGTCTTTGTGACCATTTGGGGCATGAACCAGAAGATGGAATCTCTCTCTCTCTCTCTCTTTCTCTCTCTCTGCCTTTCAGAGATATAAATAAATCTTTTTAAAAAATATAATCAGATCTTGAAGGCAATATAAAATGTAAAATAGAGAAATCTTATCTCGTTTACTCATTGAAATAATAATTTGGATATGTTATCAATAAAGTTTATATTAAAATTAATTTCTTTTTTTCTCTTTTTCCACACATAGTTGGAGCATTTACAGTTACTCACACGGATCTCACGTGTGGCTCCCGCGACACTGGGCAGGGCCATTGCAGACCCAGTTAGCTCGCAGCAGTTTGGCAGTGCAGGCTGAAGGTGAGCCACGGAAGGAAATGTCGGGTCCCGGAGTCTCTGAGACTGCCTCTCTCTTGTTAGCTGTGCACTAGGGGAAATGGCAGCACCCCTGGATGAGGGCTCCAGGTCATACAGTCTTTCCTTTATCTCTGTAGGGAAGGATCCCACCCCCACCCCCACACACTGCACTGTTCATCATTTCACACTGTTTTATTTCTTCACTGTACTCGTCGCCACACCTAGCTATCCAGCTTGCTTGTTTGTCTTCTTATCCCCTCTCTCCCCACTGGAGTTTAAGAGTCTTGTAGGCAGAAGATGTCGTCTGTTTTGCCCTAACTGAGCAGAATGCCTGACAGGTGGTAGAAGATGGATGGCAAAGCCTGAGGCCCAGATCCGGTTTGTGTCCTAAGACACAGAATCTTTACCTGTCTTGCCAGTGGGCATGGATCTTGTTTTCAAACAATTCAAGGACCAGAACTTAGGTCTTCTGATAATGCTGAGTCATCGAACGATTTACAGAAGGACCTGCTAATCAAATTATGAGTACATCTTCCTTTAAAAAAGATTACTTTATTTGAAAGCCAGAGCAACAGAGAGATGGAAAGACAGAGAGAAAAAGATATTTCATCCACTGGCTGATTTCCCAGATGGCTGCAGCAGCCAGGGCTGGACAAGTCCAACCAGGAGCCAGGAACTCCATCTGTGCCATCTCCCACATGGGTGCAGGGGCCTATGCACTTGGGCCATCTTCTGCCCTCCTAAGTGTACTAGTAGGAAGCTGGATCGGAAGTGGAGCAGCCAGGACCTGAACCGGTGCTCATATGGGATGCGACTGTTGTAGGCAGTGGCTTAACCTGCTGAGCCACAACACAGGCCCCCATCTTCTTTTTTAAGTTAGACACTGGGAAATTTTGAAGAATTATTATGAAGTCCTGTCGATTTTCTAAGAACAATCATTATTAGGCAATTATTCTCCGTTCCTTCAATGGTTAAATAAATGGAAAAATCATAGTGTGTACTTTGATAAATTAAACAAACAGAAATTCCTTCTGTTATCATTGCTACATGGGCTACTGCAGAGCATTAATTCAGGATGGCCTTTACTTACCACAGGGACATACACTGCAAAGCAAAATTTAAACAAAATCTCGGCTGTGAACACAAAATCTACTTGTAGGTAAATACCAATCTAATAACTATTCTTTGCATAGCTGTAAAAACTCACTTGGAGACCGTGCACTGCGATTCAGAAATAAGGTTTCTGTGTCTAATGCCAAGAGCCCTCTTCCCTGGCACATCCAGAGAACCTCTCCTGGGTGATGAGATAGGTTTTTAAATCATTAGCCTCATCGTCTCCACCTCCTGGTTCATCCATGAACTTAGCAAATGTTTAGTGAGAACCTACTATGTGCTGGCAAGGTAACCAATGCAGACAAAGATGTTTGGCTCTGGGTGGGAGGAGTTAATGCCTAGGTATTTTCTCAACACGGAGAATCAAGTGAATGAAGCCATACAGCCCATCGCAGCGGCACTGTCTACCTTGGAATGTCGCAAGTGACGTTGTTGGCTAGGAACTGAGTGGATTTGGGATTCCCTACCTGTGTCTGTCTGAGGGGGTTTCTGGAAGGTGGGGGTGCATATGGCACGGGTGCTGTGGTGCCCTTCCATCCTCTGAGTGTCAGAGACTCAGATTCCTCAATGAGCTTCAAATACGTTAACTTGACAGGTCTTGAGGGATTTCCCAGTCATCTGAGGGACTTGGCATCCTTAACAGCTTACGGGCTTTCCTTTGATGGGATGTCCCGGCCTCTCCTTTAACCAGAAGTCTTAATCCACTGTGTGGATCCGGTGTGAGGGACTCCCTCCCCAATGCAGACCCCACTCCCATCTCTCCCAGGCCTGTGTGCACTCTCCCCTCACTCACCTTTACCTGCCAACCTTTGCACCCTAGCTCCTTGCACACGGCGTGCCCACTCTTAGAGCCCAGCCAGCAGATGTCTCCACTACTCGCTCTGAGCTCAGCTCGGCCTCGGCCAGGTTCTCGTCACTTCTGTAACCGACAACAACCGAGGAAGAAGATTTGCAAATTTGCTTACAAATGAGCGCCTCCCAGGAGGACGCATCTCCCTCCCTGCGGGTTTCCAGGAGAAGGGAAAGCCGCTCCCTGCTCTCTCTTTTCCAAAAGGCAGGGCTGCTTGAGTCCCGACGCCCGGGCTACCCGAGGTGCTCAGCTTGGACCTCCCGGCCACGCGCCGCGGGCCAGCCTCGCGGTTGGG